ACTGTGCCTTTACATTTTATCAGTGATTCTCGTTGTTGTCACCTTCCCATTTTGCTTGCCATTTTGTCTCAAGGTCGCGAGGTTCGTTTCTTGTGAAGTATGCTTTCTTCAATAGTTGAATTTACTTTTAGTTCTAATAAATGTAGAATACCTGAAATAGCTTCTCCATGTCTGCGCAGCGGCAACTTTTCCGTTTGCTTTGACCAATGCTGTATTTTGTAGGGGTCAGTCTGCTGGCGATCCTGACGTTCGTTTCCTAAAGGGATGACCGTTCAACAGTTTCCTCTAGAAGCAATTAACAAGGCTTTTGTTATTTTGTGTGAAAAGCACCTAAAAAATAAATAACAATGAATAAAAAATTAAAAAAAAGAGCTTAACAAACAAAAAATTAAGCATTAGTAAATAACAAATATTACATTTTTTGCAAAAGGTTAGTGAAGTAATGAATTTTTGTTGATGAAAACTTCCTTTGTTTTTTTTTTTCTGTGCTTCGCGTTTCTATCAAAAAAAAAATCAATTTTATTTAATTGACTCGGTTTATTGTGCATAATGTGTTGGAATTATGCATTTCTTGTCTATTCTCCAATACAATTTTTTTGTAGGGAATATGAAAGGGCAGTGGTCATGCGGCTCGGACGCCTCATTGATGGTGGTACTAAAGGACCGGGACTATTTTTCATTATGCCTTGTATTGATACTTTTCGCATCGTAAGTTTTATCGAATTTTGATTTGTCAGAGCAATTTGAATTTTGGGTGGTTCTGATTAAAGTTTGATCATATTTGGCCCATTTTGTCTTTAAGACTTTTCTCAAAATTCCCTTGTTCTAAAATCTCCTTGCTTTAAGAACCCTGGTACCTGCTCGTTCAGACAGAATTTAATCTTAGTTGAGTTCTGCTGCCTTGCTTGCAAGCAGTCCTCGGACGAGGAGCCTTCGACTGTCTTGCAAGCGGATGGTTGCTGTTGGCAGTTGCTAATACAAGAGGTAGTTCCCAAGCTTCTCTGCTTAACTCTTCTCAGTCCAGTAATAGCACTTCATAGAGTACTGTAAGTAAAAGTTGGGGGAATTTTATTTTTCCTACGTGTTTTTAATCTTTAAAAAAATAAAATGGTTGTCACGACTGCCCGGAAAATCGGTATTAGTCGCGTTACCAGGATGCAAGCAAATACTGGCCATAATCCAAACATCTCGGTAAATTTGATGACTCTGAGCCTGCACCCGGTATATTTTCCTTAACATTTGCGAGCAATTCCGTCAAATACTAAGCGTCAGTCAGTGCTTACTACAGCTGTTTTACTTAATAAGACTTATCACTTCGTCAATTTTATCAGCTTTATCAGCTCATTATTTTTGATCTTTGTTTCAGTTGCTTCCACACTATATTTATATTTCCGTTTCTCAATGTGTTTTTCCTTCAAACTTTGTTTTAATTCGTCGTTGTCTACTTATGGCTTATCATTGAAAGTAATATTTCAGGTTGATTTGCGAGTGCTTTCATTCGATGTGCCACCGCAGGAAATACTGAGCCGTGATTCTGTCACGGTATCCGTGGAGGCTGTCATCTATTTCCGAGTCAATAATCCGGTTATCTCGGTAACAAACGTCAATGATGCGCAATTCAGCACAAAACTTCTGGCCCAAACAACGCTTCGGAATGTTCTTGGCACTCGTACACTTAGTGAAATGCTCAGCGAACGGGACAGCATTGCTAATGTTTGTTTTACCTTATTTAAATTCATAGTCGAAATTTGCTCGATGTGTGAAGGAAAGGCATTTGGAATGAATATTAAGTGGTAGCAAGTACCAGTATCAATCGCTCGCGGACAGGATTGTCCATAAATTCTTCTTTCGAGAGTTGCTTAGAATCGGGCTGCTTGCGAGTTTGTGCCTTGGGACATACGGCAATAATAATTTATTTTCGAGTCGAGTGAACAACACGTGGAGGATTTGGTTGTACGCTCAGCGGAATCGAACTCTAGGCTTCTTAAGTTTTATAGAAGACTTCGGTTACGATGTTTAAAAGTTGTTCTAAGTCAAAAATAT